CAGATCTTTTTTATAATGGGTTTTTTTTTGTTTTTGTTTTTGTTTTTTTTTTTTGAGATAGGGTCTTGCAAACTATTTTCCTGGGCTGGCTTTGAATTGCCAGCCTCCTGACTGACGCCTCCCCACACTTTTTTTTTTCTGGTACTGGGGCTTGAACTTAGGGCCTACACTTTGTGCCCTTTTTTTGTGAAGTGTTTTTCTAAGGTCTCACAAACTATTTGTCCAGGCTGGCTTCAAACTGTGATCCTCCTGATTTCAGCTCCTGAGTAGCCAGGATTACAGGCGTGAGCCACCAGTGCCCAGCTTGATTCTCCTTCTGAAAAGTCTGAAACTTTTGAGATTAATAAAAAAAATAGTGTGATTGTGCTAAGTTCTTTTTTGGAGATGTAAGACTGTTTTCTTTTTCTTATTTGGAAAGCTACTTAACTGGGACCCTGAGAGGATGAGTTGGAAGGAGACTAATAGTGCTTTGCATAATAAAGGTGAAGTAAAGGGAGACTCATTTTACTTCCATTTATTTGGTCTGCCATCCTACTCAATGGGCCCATGAAGCAGATAAACGATCTTGTTGAGTCTGAAACAGTCAATTCATATTGGTAAAACTCAGGGAATAATTGTGTGACTCTTTTTAATGACTTCCTCCTACTAGCTAGGAACTGGAACATTGTTCAGATGGCTTAGGATCTTGGTTGGTGATGACTGTCAGTATCCTAAGGAAGAAATTGAAAAGTTGAGGGTAATAGAGTAACCGTCATTGAAAAAGACATCCCTTAGTTTACGTTTTGAGCCATTTATGTGGTTTTTATGAATGTTCACTTTGGAACATAATCCCCACTAAAGATGGGATTTTAAGAAGTGTTTTCAGTTTTTCCTTGACAGTCAGAGAGACAGTGGTTTGGACGAGAAGTTAGCCTATCTACTCGGCCAAATGGAAAAGGAATTCCAACTCTGTGGGGTATGGTCAATGAACTATAGGAACAGGAATTTCTTATGGTCTGTTCTTCCATTTTTGTGCCATAGCTGCTCACCACTGATTTCTAACCTTTGGCAAACATCTGTTGTATACCCTCCCCGGCCTGGAATTACTATTGCCTTGGATAATGAAAAGAGGAGGCTACTTTCACTCAATGAGATAATATACCTGAAATCCTTGTACCAGTGATCGCACCAGAGCATAAGCGTTTCTGAAGTGTGGGCTAATATGTCAGGAAGAGAGAAGGTTGCTACAGCTTGGTGGTAGTTGGAGGTGATCAGGAGCTTGGAGGAATATGGAACAAGAATGGACAAATGACACTAAGGACATTTTAACTCTCACGTTCACTTCCTCTCGTCCTCAATTCTCCTTCCCAAATCCTACCAAACATTGGTGAACATGCTTGGCCTCAGACAGTTACTTGACTATTGGGTTGGGATATTAAAGGAAAGGGGGACCCTACAAAGCTAAATCCTTGTGACAATGTGAACTCTACAGTTAGGTCTTCAAAATTTATTCAAGGGATGGAAAGTAGTGCGAAGGAGTAGAATATTCTCTAGAATCCCCAACCTAAGAAAATGTTATGCTCTTGACTCTTAACCCTTTTGTGTACCCTAATATTATTTACTAACCCTAATTTTGTACTGACTAGATTATAAAATTCAGTGTGTTCTGTTCACAACAGAGATATCTCAACAGAAGGGGGGCACTGTATTGAGTTCTACCCAAGCAGAACCTTGTATTTTGTAGTAAAACATCCCTGTCAATGTGAACTGAATAAAACACAAAGCTCTGTTTATTTTCTGCTTTGTTTATTCTAAAAATAGAACCTTTATTTTCCTTGACTTTAGTATTTCCCATAGTCTAAAAAACTAGTAGGTTTTTGACAGACAAGTCTTTCTAGAATAATACTTTATTGGCAGGATTCCAAAATTGCTTCACAGTATTTACTAGATTGAGTCCAGCCTCAGGCTAATCAACTTTATTTCTTAGTGTGCAAGAGACCTTCACCCAGGTTAGGCCGATCTGCTAATTCAGCATACTGTTTCTACTCCTGTCTTTTCCCAATTCTAAATTTCCTTCCACAGAGCCAAATTTTATCCCCACCTCCAGGACTCATTTAAAAGCTATTGAAAATATCCTAAATATTCTAGTCAACAGTAATATTTTTCTCATCTGAGTTTATGCTACATTAATAATGATTCATCAATTGATTGAACAATTATTTGTTAAGCATGGACAATATACCAGGAACATAATGCAAATTAATCATTTATTTGCTTTTTTAAACTTCTCATTTACTATATGTGTATATACTTATCTCCAAGAAAACCTTAAGGATTATTATCATTTTCTTTTGTTTTCTAACAGAATTGGGCATAAAATAGGAATGTATAAATATACCTTAAATTGACTAAATAATATACAAGATAAATTTAACTAGAACATTGTAAACAGGTCACTGTTAACTTGGCAGCTTATGATCGCTAACCATATTAACTGGGTGATGGGTTGTATTAATAAATATTTACTCTTCATTATACCTGTCCTCATTAAATATTTCAAGTGACACTTTGTTTAAATTTTTTTATTAATAGTTCCTTTTCATAGCTCAAAAATGTATTACAGATTAGAATCAGCAGAACAAAAACCTCATCTTTGTTGAGACAGCCAGTGTATAGACTTTATTACATAGGCACATTTTTTAAAAAGTAAACTGGGTTTTACATAAAATTAACCACAATAGTGCAAGAAGTTACACTGAATTAAGATGAATGATGAATGAAGGAAAATACAAGCCTTGAATCAGCTGAAACATTCATTGGATCTTGGGTTCATCCATCCTGACACACTGAGATTCAGTAACAGACATTACAAAAAATGGAGGGTAAGGAGGCGTGCCCCTCTGTCAACCACTGGCTAAAACATTGATTCTGATTAATCTCTTGAATATGCAAAGATTCTGTTGGCAAGTGGAAACAAAAGTTATTAAAATGAATGCTGGTGGAGGGTCAGAGGAGTTAATATCATTTCCTTCTCTCACCCCTATACTTTAAAATAATTAAATCCAACAGGCTGCTGTTGAGAGTTGACTGTACCTCTGCTTCCCCAGCACTTCTCCTGTAGGGTATCACTGGGGTTGCCCGTACTAAAACACATGAGGTGAGCACATGAGGCTTCAGTCACAGTGTGGCTAGACAGTGAGGGTTTGATCTGAGACAGAACTGGGAATGAAAGGAAAAGGATGCTGAAATTCCTTGTTCTGTCCAGTTAAAATCATCCATTACATCTAAGTACAGCCAGAAAACAAACTAAACCCACACTCAAACTCATCACACAAGAAAAGCTATTTTGAAGTGTATCTATGTTTTCACAAAAAATTTTAAAGTACATTTTCATTTTCCTAAGGGACAATGAGGAGGTGGGTGGATGGGAAGTGGGTGGATGGCAAAGCCTTTCATCTGGCTTTGCCATAACTTACAAATAGTACCAGAATGTTCGTTGTTTTTCCCATCCCAAAATTCCTTCAGTCTTTTATCTAAAAGTATATGTCTATACACCACTGATCATCCTATCATCTTAACATCCTCATTACCTTGGAGAGCTAGACCAACAACTACCTTAGGTTGTACCCAAATCATAACATCCATTTGGGAACCTGTCAACTCTCTATACTCACACCACTGAGTGATGCCAGTGAAACTTCTAGAGCAATATGCCAACTGGTTTTCAGCTCCATCTTTGATCCTCCTTTTTAAGTGGTATTTTGAAGGCAACTATAAAATAGAAGATTGCAGGGTTTTCTGTGTTTCTGCATCTGGGCAGATGGAAAAGGGTAGAGACGTGGAAAGGAAAATGATGACCCAGTTAGTTTCTCCAATATTCAAGATTTAAATTTCTTGGTTCCTAAGAATATATGAAGGGTCACATTGAAATGAAGTATCACCGAAAATGGTACCCAAAAGATATTTTGTAAAATAACTCATAAAACTAATACTAGAAAGGATATGAAGAAACTATTAGTTCAGCTCCATCACTTATCTGTAGAAACTCAAGTCTAATTGGGAAAATAACATGTCAGTTAACATAGAGATTGTCTCCACGAGTATGTCCTTTAAAGAGGCAGAGAAACCCCAACTTCTTCCTTGATGCAGCCATTATGGAATGCCTGCCAATGACTTTATTTAAATGATTCTCAGTATCCTTTGCTTCTTTCAGGGAAGCTCACTGCTAACAAAGCATTTAACCAGAGCAGATATTTTATGACACAATACTTGTTCAGTTGAATAATTCTATTTTTTTTAAATCTCTGATATGCAATCCTTTTTCCTGCAGCTTCTTCCTTTTACTTTAAGAGATGGCCCGTAGGTCAAGTATTTTGAAGCTTTGTGGCTGATTCTGTGTTTTCCACCTCTTTATGCCTTTTCATATTGAATTTCTATTTTCTTTAGTCTGTTTTCTTATAGCTTTTTATTACATCCAGTTATTATTTGCCTCTTTCCAGGCCCTGCTAAACATGTTACTATGGAAAGTTTCTACCTTTACAAGCTTGAAATGTCAAGTTTTTCTTTTTTTAATTCTCAAAAAAAAAAAAAAAAAAGACTTAGCAGGTTTGTTAAGGCATACTAGAGAAATGTAAAAATGGCACATTTCTTGCTTTAGTGAATACATGGGAAAATATTACTAAGATACACATTTGTTTTCTATACTTATGGCTGCCTTATACATCTCCTTCACATTTAATTCATTAAATACATAAATGAGTCACAATATCCAAAGCCAGTCTTATTTAGAGCATAATTAAGACATGGTAATTTGGCATTTATATTGGTAACATTTAGAAGCTTGATGAGAAAGCCTTAATTTTATATAAATTATAAAACTCATGGCTTGGATGGGACTTGGCAAAATATTAGAGATAATTCATTTATTAGATGATTTTTTTAATTAAATTTTGTTAGTTTTATATAATTTCCTATCAGATTCCATTCTTACAATCTAAACTCTAGATATGCTGGAATTAGCATATAATAATCATTAAAACAGTTAAAATTACCATTTCAAACTGGGAGAATCTGTAAAAGTAGGTGGATGGTACTGCTTCTTACTCACACCAGTTTAAGAATTCCCAAGGCTTTCAAGAAAAAAAAAATCAGTTCATTTTGTTTTTCTACTACTAGACTGAAAATAAATCACCTTTGAAATTATCATGATTTCATCTGACAAGTCTAATCTTACTATGGGTGACATAATAAACACACAGTAACATCGGTTGGTTAATGTTGAGGAGAACCAAAACTAGCAGTGAACTCTTATCAGTGGTCTTCTCCCACTGGTCATTCTTTTTTTTAGAGACAAGGTCTCCCTACATAGCCCAGGCTACCCTTGAACTCACTATACAACCCATGCTGGCCTCAAACTCTTGATCTTCCTACCTCCATCTCCCAAATGCTAGGACTTCAGGCATGTACCACCATGCTAGGCTTCCCATTGGCTATTTTAATGGGCAAGACTGAGGCTCAAAGATCTGTGTGGCAGCAGTGAAACTGAATCAGTAATCTAACTATGGACAACAACTTTGCTACTACACCTTTGAGCACAAAAGTATTTCTCAATATGAGTAAGAACATTATAGTTCAAATTCAACAGCAAATTGAGTGCTTAAGTGCTGACAGTTATTATTAGTTGACCCTGGAGGCAGGAATAAAAGGAAAGCAAAATTAAGTCCTCCATAATAATAATAAAAGCTGCTTGCTTGCTTTAATATGTATTTGATATATACTTGATAATAAGGGTTAAGTAGTCTCAGAGTCTTAGGATCAGTGTCCAACAAACATTTATAATACTTAATCATGTATGAATACCTAACCATTTTCCTTTATTCCATGAATATGTTTGCCATACCAGTAAGGATTTAAGGCAGCTGAACCCTATTGTATTTCAAGCTTTGTGCTAAGTATTAGAAACACAAAGAATAAGGGAAACTCCTTTTCTTCATGTGTCACATTTCCCAGGAACATGAGTTTCTAGGGAAATAAACTGATTCCAACCACTGGATTTGAATAGAATTTAGACACATTTCCAGTAAGAAATATTTTAAATAAAAAATGTTTAAGGATTATGAGCCTTGATAATAGTGCAGCAAAGTAGAAAGGGGAATAATTAAATATGAAAAAAAGGAAAACTCAATAAAACCATGCAGATAATATTTAAAATGAACAAAGTGCAAACTTTTGATATGGGATAACTAGCACTACGTCTATAAGAGCAGGCAAAGGGGGTTTAAAGGTCCCCCTCAAAATGTCTCAATTCTCTTGTTCTATATATTATAACATATACATGTCTTGTCTTCTTTCACTGTAAGGTTGAAAAAGCAAGCCCTAGACTCAAAAGAAAGAAGAGCTCTTGATATTATATGACATCTAATTTATATTTTAATAGTAATACTATGTGTTGGTAAAATGAATTAACTTTTAATATTTTCACGTTATTGATAACATAGACTAGGAATTTTTAGAAAAACTTAGGTCCAGGATGGTAAGTGTAGAATCTGCACATCAAAAAGTTGCCCAATTTTGTTTTTTGGTTTTTTTCTTTTTAATGTAGGTTATTAGTAAAACACTCAAGACATATTGCATTATATCCTCCAGTCCTCTAAATATTACTCATAACCAGTTCCCTAAAAGTAACAGAGGCAAAACAAATTTGATGGAATTAAGATAGGTTTTTAAAAATTAGGAATAATTTGCTTGCTGAATAAAAAAGCATACAAAGGGTTTTCCCACCTCTTGGTTAAAAAACAGAACAAAACAAAAAACAATCCAGGTGAAAGTATGAAGGCAATGAGAATTAATCGAGGAGAAGGAATGAGATTCAACAGGTAATATGCATGATGCTAGCAGGTGGACACAGATCTTGACACGGTGCTAAGTGTGGGTAAGTAAGTTCTGGGATAGATGGCCTTCATTCCTCTTGTCACTCCCCTAACCTACTGGGCATCCTGTGAGGAATCTTAAGTGTCTTTAGTAAAACAGAGGAAAGGATATGCTCTGAAATCCCTTGAGAAACTCCTTTTGGAGACTTCATTGCATTTCAAATAGCATTGAAACACTTACAAATTGTGGGGTTAGATAGGCTCATTCCTTTGAGACTATTTGGAAGGGATCTTGGTCTTCATCCAGCTCAAATCCAATGTGAGAGTCACTTTCATAGCACCTGGGATAGGTGGTTATTTTAACACTTGTGTATTCATAACAACAGCACATTTCACCTCTTTAGAACAATGCTTATTAGAAAGTTCTTATATTGAAGCAAACATCTTATCTAAAAGATCTTCTTTGTTCTTACTTTTCTTGCATGAAGCTATACTAAACAAATCTAATTCCTCCCTTTTTATAGCTCAACAGAAATGTTGAGGCAGCTATTATATCATTCTCACCTTCTCTGCACTCCATTCCCAGCTGTACTTTCTGTTCTATAGGGGAGCTCTATTAGTTTTATATAATCAGACTTTCACAACCCTGTACATTTGTCTGTGGACACAATCAACTTATAAATGTTTCTCTTAAAGTAGAGTATCTGTAATTGAACCCAACACTCCATTTAGATATGTACTGGCCAATACCTCATGCAGAGTTCTCTAAACATCTTTTAACACAGATTGAGAGTGAATACATTAGCTTTGTGAATAGCAATGATATACCCACAATTAAAAATTGAATTTCCATTTCCTTAAGAAAACATTTCTACATGAACTGCTGGAAAACCAGGTCTTCCAAACACCCTTCTCACCAACACATACACATAAGCACACAAATACAGATACAAAAACACTCTCATACACACTCAACTCTGTACTCTGACAGCTGCATTTTAAATATAAAAACTTGAGAATATAGGGTTTCTCATTAATGCCTATTCAATCTCATCCTTTTAGTTTCAGTCCTATGCTTCCTTTAAAACACTGATGATTTCTATAACTTAGTGTCAGTACATAAAATTCAATGAATGTTCATTGAATAAATTAATCTTCAATCTGTCAGCCAGAAACTGGAAATATTATCTATTTCTGTATCATCTACAAATCTGATAAAGTGTGCTTTCTGTACTCTCACTCTATTCTTTATGAGAGAAAACACCATGGTACAAATAAGAAGCAGAGGTAGGCAGGAGCAGATGAAGAAAAAGAAGACTGAGTGTCCTAACTCTTGGAATCAGGATTTAATGTTCACAACTTTGGGAAATGTGGCTTTTCCCCATCCCTACCATACAGTCTTCTGCCTTTTTGATGTATTGTAATACTATGATTATCAAATTGAATTTTGGGGGAAAGCTCATTTAAGCTTGGTTATAAAAATTATCTTTTCAGCTTGAATTTCCTGTAAAGTTGGTTAAAGAGACACACAACAGTTTGTTAGCTATGAGGTATAAAAGAACTCACAAATGCACCTGACAAATGCTTAAGGGCATTTATTCACATGTTTCAGGAATAAGAAGTGGTAAATAGTTTTCAGTGTGCATTTGGGAATTCACAGGATTGAATCTGTCTCCTGAACTGAATATAATCTTACCCTGTTCCACAAAATGAAGACAAGTTCATTGCTTTCCCTTCAACACAATGTGAATCCAATCCAATCTGTTTATAGAATGTAGGTCCAATCACTGAATAAAAAATATTCAATTGGGTCTTTTTTCCCCTTGTCTATTTTGACTTAGGATATATTAGGATTGTTTAGAAAACATATAAACAATCTCAAACCAGGAAGGACACATCTGGAAAACTTTGGATGCATAGTGTTACATTTTAAGATTGGAGACTTGCTACAAAAGGTCTAGTAGACTCAAAGGAAAATTTGCTTTGAACCTTTTCTAAACCTTTTATAGAAAGAGTGACAGAGATGGATTCTTAACTTCTCAAGACTGCTTTTTCCAGAAACTCATGAGTGACAGATGAATATCAGAAATAAATCGTGCCAGCACTGATGTTGGAGATTCTTTTCCAGATACTACTGCCACAAACTATATACCAATGCTGCAACATAAGCGGAAATGAGGAAAAGCAGCTTAATTATACAATAAGCTCCAAAAGTCAGGTGAACCACATGCTTCAGGTGTGAGCAGAGTCAATGAGCCTCTCCAAAGCAACCGCCTCAGGTTCCTGTTAAAATACAGGTAACTGCAAACAGGAAGCTGACAGACTATTCTTATCATGGAGTGGCCCCAGCAGGATTGACTTAAACTTCAGCTATTCAGAAGACACTCTGTCATGACTCTTGGGTCAGGGTTCCTTGATATAGTAGCTCTTTGTCACTGTATCCCACACTCCTTGGGATTGTCCATTTCATCTCCTTCAAAGTCTGGCTTCAAACTCTTTTTTTGTTCAATTTCCACCTGCCAAAATAAAAGTTGCAAAAAATATCAGAAAGAAGGGGGAAAAAAGCATGCAAATAAGCCAAAAGAGAATCTCAGAAGATTTTCTTTTAAGATTCCTTGAACTTTTGCTAATGTTTTAGGCCACGTTAGAGCTACTAGCCTTGAGGCCTGGAATTTCCTCTTCCTCATCATGTTCCATCTGGAAAATTCTTTTGGAGGTACAGGAATTTAGGACCTCATGTTTGCTAGGCGCTGCACCACTTGAGCTACTCTACCAGCCCTGGAAAATTCTTTCTTTTTTTTGCTGGGTAGGGGTATATTGTGGCATTTACAAAAGTTCTTACAGTGTATCAAATATAATATACTTGGATTCATCCCTTCCCCTGGAAAATTTGTATTCTTTGCTTTGCTTTGCACAGTTGCCCAAAGCTAATCTTAGTAACCTTGGGAGCTTCTCTTGTGAATATTTCCACTATAACTTATATATGTATCTAGCTCCACTCTTCTATAAGACAGGGGCAAAGATCTTGTTCACTATTGTATCCAATAGTGTAGAAATAGAGTAGGCAATTGACAAAAGGTTTATCAAATCAATAAATTTCTTTGTAATTGATTATTTAAACCCTCCAAATACTTCATCTCTTTAAAAACCCTCCAAACTGGTTAAGTATTAGAGTTTACAGTTCTACCATATTTTCTGCAAAATATTGTCACTGTCATTACAAGGTGATCCATAAATTAATCTCACCTTGAAAGAAGCACACCTCAGCTGAAGCCTTTAAGTCAGGCAGGGAATCTTTTGAGCTCAGGAATTTCATAATTAAGGTTGCTTCTCAACATCTCATTGGATATTTATGGTGCTTGACCTTAAGAGTAGCAATGTAAGACAGAACAGGGTCATGTTTGAGGGGAGTGCTTTTTATTTCCTTGCCACAAGATGGAGTGTTTGTTCCTTTTGGTAGTTAAATATTTTAGACTACATAACTAAGGAAACATTTAGAGGAACAATAAATTACCATATAAGTCTAAAGGTATCACTGTGAAAAGGAAGTTACTAAATTACTTTGCAAAATTCTTCAACAACCCTCTCTTCAATCTGTAGTATTTAATCTTCTGTGAAATGTCTTAACTCTTAAGGATATCATCACTTTCTATATATGGCAGAAAACCCCAACTTTAGAGCAGGGTACCATCAAACCTGCCTTTAATTCCTGGATTTGGGAAGGGGAGGTTTTGGGAGTAGAGGAGGCAGGAGGATCTAGAGTTTGAAGCCAGCCTGTGCTTCATAGTGAGACCCTGTTTCAAACAAACCAAAAATGAAAACCAAAACAAAACAAACTCCAACTTTAATTACTCTCACACAGCCCTGATCCTAATATTATTGAAGTTTTTTGGATTTTGAATTTTTTGTATTGTTATGGCCCCATACACAGGTTGTATGTATTCTACATTATTCTAACTTTGTTCAGATTTATTTCATCAACATCCGTGTATGAAATTTCCAGATCCTTTCCTCCACCTCTGAAACATAAATTATATCCTCACTGTTACTTTGTTGTTATTCATGATGACAGACATCATATCCTGTAATCACACCCTCTATTTTTTTTAGCCTTTCTTTTGCCCACGAGAGAGGTTATTTATTAAAATCAGAGCAGAACATTAAGTAAATGTAAAAATGATAAAAGAAAAAAAATAAAATCAGAGCAAACATCCACAGCTACAAATGCAAACCTCCTCTAGAGTGGTAGAGAATACTTGGCACCCAGGGCAAGCACTGCTGAAAGGGAGTAGGGGGGAGGGTAGAGGTCAACAAATGGACTTGGAAACATCAGCCAGAGCCCCCTGAGGCTACCTTGTAGCTGTAGTGTGCGGAATAATTGACCCACTTCCTGACATCAGTCTTGTCTTCCACCGAGATGGATCTCACAGCAGCTTTGGAGGCAGAAGTCGTGGGCATGCTGAACTCCACGTTCACGTGACTGGCAAATTTGGAAGGCACTTCCCGGTCAGAGCCAAGTTCAAGGTGGCAAAAGAAACAGTGTGGGTGACCAGACGCTATGAAAGAAATGAAGAATGTAGAGATTAGGTTCGCTAACAAAGGAGGCCTGGAGGCTTGGCACCTGGCAGTCCTTCAGAGGGTCCAGTGCTGAGCAGTGCATTTGCTTCAGCAGAAACCATGTTCTGTGTGCCTGAGAGCCTTTCATGTAACACCATCAGATTAATGCAGCCCAATATCCTAGCAATGAAATCCACAGCCTGAGAAAGGGGCCATTCTGCCTGCTCAGGTCAGAGTGCTATATGGACACAGCACGAATACCAAGGAAGAAGGGCTGTTGAAGAATAAAAGGCATCAGCCCATCACACCTAATAAAACATCAAAGATAGCCACCTGGAGCAAAATCATTGCTTTCCTTTGAAAGATGAATTGAATTGTCTTTTTTTTCTTCTTTTGATGGTACTGGGGTTTGGAAGTAGGCTGCTACTGCTTGAGCCATGCCTCCAGCCCATTTAGCTATGGTTCGTTTAGAGATGGGGACCAGCCTCGAACCACAATCCTCCTGATCTTTCTCCCAAATAGCTAGGATTATAGGCATGAGTCAATGGTGCCTGGCTGAATTTTCTTAATACCATTTCATATTTTCAAAAATGCTTTTGGCTTATATGAATGATACATGGAACTGACAGACCTTATAGACAACACACACACACACACACACACACACACACACACACACACACACACATATTAGGGAAACATGGCACACTGGATAGGACGCCTGATTCACAGAACACCCAGGTTGGTTTCTAACTCCCCTACTTTCTGGCTCAAGTCCTCTGTTCTCTCCAGGCCTCAGTTCTTCACCTGTAATGTGGAAAGTTGAGAAGAGAAATGAAAGGTGGGCTTTTAATGCCAGGTCTGGCCCCTTGCTGCTCTTTAATTCTGTGTCTGCATTGTACCTATGATTTTCATTTGAGAATGTTGTCAGATTTTTGAGGAAAAAGTGTTAGAGCTCAGTTCAGTGACTGTAATCATCACTGTCATTCATCAGACACATCAAGAAACTTTGTTAGGAGGGTGTGACTCAAGTGGTAGGGTGCAAAGTCCTGAGTTCAAACCCCAATACTGCAAAAAAAAAAAAAGAATGTTGAGTGCCCTGTGCCTGGTACTGCTTCAAACAGATTCTTTCACTGGATCTTCCTAACAATCCCTTGAGGTCTTAATATTATCCTTACTTCACAGATGAAGAAACTAAGGATTTTGGAGGCAAAGTGAGTTGCCCAAGGTCATAGCTAGAAAGTGGCAGAGCCAAGAACTGAACCCAGCAGTCTGACTGCACAGTTCTTAACCACTCTGCCTGAGTAAAACGTCATGATGACAGACTTTATAACCAGGTTTGCAGAGTGACAGGAATGGAGATGGAACAGGCTATGTATAAACAACATGAAGTGGCTTTGACTTAATTATGTAACTGAAACATCCCCTTAATTATCCCAGTTTCCCCAAGTAAACAATTCCAGTTTTCATTACTGGTTTGCACAGGATTTTGTAATCGCAGAATAAGAAGGTACACACCCGCTCTCTAAGGAAAACATTACAGAGTGAAGTATTTGTTTTGCTCTGTTTCACAAAGTTAACATAATTCAATGGTTCTTTCTAAAAAGTTAAGACTTTGGAAAATTAATTGAAAAATTTGTACTGTTTTTAAGAAAGAAATTTAAATAAGATACATATAAGTAAAAGTTATATTTGAAAATGAATCCATTCAATACATCTTTTTAATTGTGTACCACAGATACAATTATATAGTTTCATTTATTGAGCATTTGTTACAGGCCAGATACTGTGCTAAACACTTGATAGCATTATCTAATTTCATTTTGAGTGAGCTAGGTATTAATAACCCTGTTTAGATGAGAAAAAACAGATTTCTCTGAGAGGGTTAAGTAAATTGTCTGAGGTCATATCAACATTAAGCAGTAGAAGTGGGAATAAAACTCAGATATGACTCCCAATTACGTCTTAAATTCTCACTGTATTGCTATGGAATTAACTATAACATATATAGAAGAGTCTCTTAATTCAATGGTACCTTGAGTAATTGTTTTTATCTAATTACCTTTATCTGCACATTGTAGTTCTGGGAAATCATTTCTTTTCACAAAAGTGACTATTTCACCAAAGCATATTCACAGCAAACTCTGAAACCAATATCTTTTCCTAGTTACAATTATTAGATGTGGAAGGCTGGTGGACAGTTAAGGAAGTACAATTTTAAAAGGTGGTATAATTAGTTCACGATAATGAGTGAAATAAACCCAGATATTATGTCATCTTTCTTGTTGAAATTTAACATTAAAATTCAGATTTAGGGGCAGACATGGTACACATCTATAATCTCAGCTATTCCAGAGGTGGAGGTAGGAGGATCACAGTCCAAGGCTGGCCCAGGCAACAACCCTACCTGAAAGCAAACTAGAGCTGTGGCTCAAGTGGTTAAAGTGCTTGCCTAGCAAGTGCAAGGCTCTGAGTTCAATCCCCAGTACCACCAAGAAAAAAATTTTTTTTCAGATTTTTCTCTATAAAAGGCTAATCATATTGGATTTGTCTTCTTTTTACTTGGTCTAATGAGAACTGGAATTCAAGCAAAGAAAGTTGTCTATGCAGAACAGAAGGTCTTATTCCTTGTTGTGTGACCTGTGAAAATAGCAAGAGTTGTTCTGGAACCTTATATGACTAAGAAAAACTCCTCCAAGATTTGGGTGGCAGGACTCCTTGGAGAGCTCAACTGTGCTTGAGCACAACTGGGCTGGGCCCTGCTGGCAGGAGCCATGTTGGAATACAAAGGCACCTACTAGGTCTCTTGGTGACTGAGATTGTGTCAAGCCCACTGTGGTTGCATGCACGAGACACAGCAAAGCCAGGGCTGACTTTGGCCCACACTGCCTGCAGTCTCATTGCCCTGCCAACAGCAGCTAGGCCAAAGCTGGTGGGAGTGTGTATAGAGAAATTTGGCCTCCTAGGCCTGCTGGGCCTTTTGACTTCAGCTGAGCCCCAACTTCCTTCACTGTAAATGGAGGTGAAGGTGATTATGAAAAAACAACCTGTGAAAGGCAATTTTCCAAGGCTAATAGAGAGCTCAAAAAAAGCGGCTGTTACTAACAGAGCAACATCAATTCTCTGGTGTCAGGATGAGCACTGAATGGGAGGCCAGGGGCTAGCTATATTGATTACCAGCTATAGGTGGGAGCTTGCAGTCTCACTGGGATGTAGATCCTGTACATCTCAAGTTTCTAGAAAAGGGTACCATCAATTTCCTGAATGGCTACAGAAACATACCATTGGCTAGAAATAGTACAAGAAAATTCCTTCAGGGATTTCCTGTTAAAAATATTACATAACCAGCAATGGGGGGTAGGGGCTTAACTAAGAAACATCTCTATATATGCTTATGCTGTCCTGTATGCCAAAATCTCCCATGATTAAGGTTCTAGTAAGCTACTAATATATATAATCTATAAATTGCACTTTACTTGGCTTGAGCCTACTGAACACTCTGCTGGGAAGCATTAAGGAAGACGACTGCTGAAGATCTATTTTTTTCCCCCTGCCCTGTTGTCCATTTCCCCTTTATTCTGGTAGCAATTTTCTTCTCTCTCTCTCTTTGAGAAATAATCTTTCCTGGCACTGCATGTCATCTTGGTGCTCACGTTGGTGAAAACACTCAGGACTCCCCTCAGCTTGAGCCAAGTGCACAAGGACACTTGTGCAGGCTGCACCCTGAAGAGACATTCATTAGTTTCTGTTACCAGAGCTTCTTTGGAGCTATCTTTTCTGCTGTTTGTTTATTCAACCTCTCCTTCACTTCTTGAGCTATTCAGATTCATCAGCTTTTTTTTTCCCTTAAGGCCATTCCTTGTACCCAGTACCCCCAAAACCCTATACAGTATTTCTAAATATTTTAAATCACCTTGAGATGTGTTTGTATATACTTGGAAAACTGCAAATTACTGCAGAAATTCATTCTTTCTTTTTTCTTTTCTTATCTTCCCTTCCTCCTCCCTTCCCCTTGCAAGTACTGGGGATTGAACTCAGAGCCTCATGCTTGCTAGGCATGTACTCTGCCACTTAAGCTATGCCCCCCACCCAGTCCTTTTGTTTTGTGTATTGTTTTTGAGATAGGGTCTCACTATCTTTGCCCAGGCTGGCCTCAAACTCACGATCCTCCTGCCTCCTCTTCCTCCCAAGTAGCTGGGATTACAGGCATATACCAACACACCCGGCCATTAGAAATTATTTCAAGCATATGTCTATTTGGCTTCACTTACAAAGTGGAACTGTGATATTGAGAAAAGACCTCTGTGTGACTGTAGAAAAATAATGTCACACCTTTAGGGCCTTAATTTCTCATCTGTAGAATGAAAAGGTTTGACTGAGTTATTCACCAAATCCCTTCCAGCATGAAAATTCAGAAATTCCATGGCTCTTCCTTCCCAAGGGCTTCTGTGCCAAAGGAGAATTCAGGGTTTCTTTTTTCCCGTTAAGTCAGATGTGCCCCATGGCTGAGGTTGAAATCATAATGCAATCACTAACAGAATACAGTGCTGATTTCAGGGCAGTGAGAAAGCTAGCACAGAGAGGAAGACTTTGATTAATAATTCCCTCAGTTTAGAAATAGAGGGTAGTAAACCCAGCCTCCCTCAAACAGATGCCCAATTGTCTTTTCAGTTTGCACCACTACACCCAGTGTCTGACACAGAATGCCTGGTGTGTGCCCACTCCCAAGACAGCCTGGGGAGTTGAGCAGACCATACTGCCTATTGCTTTCACATCATACTCCCTTTAGGCTGTGTTATCATAGCTATGATAACACAGCCACTTCACACTCATGCAGGAAGGAACACTGAATACACAGTAAGGACTTAATGGTGAGAATGGTAAAAGCACAGCCACACATTTCAATCAGCATTTTCCCCCTAACCTTATTATTTTGTCTGAGTAACAAATCCACATTCATTAATAGATGGGCACAATTTATTATAAACAAGAACAGAAGTACTTTAAAGGCTCATGGGATCATGGGTTTTTGGGGTCACCCAGACATACTAGAAGAAATAAAGCTATTAGAGCTGGTTTGACTGCTGCCTTATTTTGTCATTTCACTGAATCTCACTGGACCCAGGAGGGAAGTGACTGCCTATGGACTCACTCAACCACAACAGCATTCCCCATGGCTATGAGCCAGGCAGCTAGGCTTGGTAAGGGTGTTTTGTTAATATCAAACATTCCTCCCTTTGTTTTTTTTCTTCATTTTTTAAATTAGGATATATTTGTTGTACAGGGGGAATTCATTGTGACAATTCCAAACAGACTTATATTGTACATTGGTTAGCTCACCCTCACCGTCTCTTCCCCTTTACCCTCTCCCCACCCCACTTCAAGCAATTACAAGAGGTTTCATTGTTCTATTTCATTTGGGTATTTGAAGTCCATCAACCATGTTCCTTCACCTTAATCTCCTTCGTTCACCCTCCTCCCTCTCACAAGCACCCCCACACACTGTACCAATTTTACAGTCCTGCCGTTCATTATTAATTTCAAAGTCACTGTTCAAAGGGCTTCTCAATGTGTCTCTGCTGAGGTTATACTTTACTTTGGTCTACTGAAACCCTTCCATTACTCTCCCTTACCCCTTCCCTCCCACTCCCTCCATTTGCTTTTCATCTGATGGAACACTGGCTCTTTTGGACCTTCATATCCATCAGACCGCCAATCTTTTTCCCATCCCTGAGTGCCAGAGCTAAGTTCTGACTTTTAGTAGCTAACCCAGAAGGCTCACATCTTGTGTATATGATTTGTATGTATTCTGGTCCTTTCATTGCCACCCAAGGCATAGTCAGAAAGATGCTCTTCAGAACCCACAAGCCTTCCAGGATCTGGAAATGGATTGCTTCCTGCACCACAGCTAGTATTTTAATGAGTCCCAAAAGAACAAAAATTGAGAAGCTGCCCTGGGAAGCTGCTTTGCAGCTCAGCTGAGCAGAATAATGTACTGCTTTATGGACAGTGTATGATAATAAAGGAGTGAAAAGACAAAGTGAACTGAGTCACTACGCTTATTACTTTGTGCAAATATTTCTACTTTTTTGGTCCCCCATCCCCTCAATCACCATCTCTGCCACACAACAAAAACAAGCACTTCATACAGAAATAGAGGTGGAAGGCTGATCAGCTCTTCAGCAACCACATGGTTGTTCCCCACAGATGGGAAACTACCTACCTGAGTTTTTGTCAGGCAGTCGGTTTATCCTCCACACAATGGAGTTGAAGGCATGCTCATACTTGGCTGTTCCCAGAGTTACTCTCATAACAGGCTCAGAGCCAGAGATGCTAGTTGAGCCAAAACTTGCCCCCCGGTTAACTTTGGCTTTCAAAGACTTTTCCCCCAAGACGCTTTCCCTGCGGAAGTTTTTCACCCACTCACTAGGCACTGGGTAACGAACCATTACATTCTCACAAGGAACCTGAGTGAGAGGATCACGGTTAGAGGAGAAGCCAGTTGACATCCTCAGCCAGCTCTGTACCTCCACCTCCGCCCCATTGATGCTTGCTGCCGTCCTGAGTGTGAAGGGCAAAGTCTTTTCAGCAAACACTGTCCTGAATCGCATTAGCTCGAACCGGCATGCATCCAAAGGATTGAACAGAATAACTCGAGAGCTGTTGAATACATCTTCATCCACACATCCATGAAAGTGGCACTCATGGAGCTTAATCCACTTTGTGGTGGTGGTGGGCATGATGTCCTGTCGAGAAACTATTTCATTTCCTTTGATGAGAACATCATTGAGGCCCAAGCGGCACTCTGCAAGTCCAGAGAGGAAACTCAGAATGTGAATCCGTGTCAAGACTTGGTGTTGAGAATCTGGTTGTCTCCTTTGCTTACAATACCAGAGAATTCATCCTTGACATCCACTGTGATCTCCTCTTCAAGGTAGTTCAAGCCAACTGTGCTTAGGTCCATTGACAAGACTGGCAGGTCCATGAGATGGTCCTGAACTGCCCGGATAAAGCTCAGAAAGTCATCATAATTAGTGGTGCCCAACTTAATCACTTGTTCCCTCTCCGCTGTGTGGGCCACGGCGGGTTTCGGCTGGTATTTCTTCTTTTCCTTATAGGTGACACGGTCTATCCGCAAGCTATGGATCCTCCCATTCTCATCATAGTTTTGAAGCCGGGGTTCAGAAACCTCATGACAGGTCTCCAGCTTGAACTCACGGAATGGCTTTTCTAGACCCTGCTCATAATACAGCTGCAGGTAACCACTGTCTGTTAGTTTGATGTAGATTGGTCCCCAGTGCCTGGAGGACATGATGTTTTTCTTCTCAGGGATCCTCAACATCATTGGCCAACCATCCCTGGGCTGGGACAGAGCATATCCAGACAGGTGAGCATCTAGTTCAACCCAGGCAATCGGGTCATCATCAGGTAGTGTTGCATTGCCAAAGTGATCGGGATCATCAATTTGGAGTTGTTTGAGTTTTTCAACAGCATTAGAGTGTGACTGATTTTTGCTGGAATCATCAAAACTGATGGCATCCTGATAGATGACAATGAGAGAATCCCTTTGGCTTTTGCCCATGGCACTGGAAATAGAACTGTTTTGGGAGCGCCGCTTCTGTTCCTCAAAGAAAGCACTGAAAGGGTTGATAGGGGAGGGCTGTACATCCTGTAGAGTCTCATTCAGGAAAGGATTGGTTGCTCTCCACGGTGGTGCCTCAGGTATGGAAGGTGAATGGTTTAAGGAGGAGATGTCTAGCTTCTGAACTTTGGAGAGGCTCATCAAAGTGCTCTTGGGACGGTCCCTCTTAAATGACCCAGTTGAGTTATAAGGTACATCTGGGGTCACAGGTGTAATAGATGGTGTATTTGATTTCAGAGGGGAGGTGATTGGTGGCAAAGTGCAGCTGACTTCATTGTCATCAAAAGTAACCCAGCTGGGGAAACGAGCAGAGGTCACTGAAGGGGCAGGATGTCCATTCATGTCTGGACTGCTGGCCTGCCAGCTGATGGCCTCCATCTCTACCTCTTCATCTTCCTGGAGGGAGGAGGAATTGTCTAAAAGAAAAAGGAGAACAGATGAGGGAGATAGATGCATTCAAGGCCTCTAGAATTATGGGAAACTGAAATAGGGGAGTGAGTACAAAGCAACTCCTTACCCGTCTCAAGTACATTAGTGTGGGCCCAGATCTCACAATTTGTAATGAGCATACCAGAGGAACCATGACATGAAATGCAGTAAGAATACAATGGCTACATCAAAATAGAACCAAAGTCTGGAATAGATGTTTTCTGTACTTAGCTGTAAGGAGTGTGTTATTAGTTTTTAAACACTGAAAACCACCTCCCATGTAAAATGATAAATCTTCCCTCAGTAAAGGTTTGTTGACTGAATGAGAAAAGAAACTTTGCTTTGGAGTAATTCATTTTCCATGACTCTGGAGGAATGTGTATGGAGTTCTCTGCCACTTTCCCACCCAGTATTTCTGCTGGCAGTCATTTAGAATCAAAGGGAAATGGACACTAAAAGGGTCATGTTTTCTGACTGACTTGCTAAACCTTCAAGCATATCACATCCAACCATACCAGATCAGCAGTGTCACATAAGATTGTACATAAAATCACACATGGATGTAATGGCTGGCTTGTCATCCATCCCTCCAAGAAATTTATTCAAACAGATAGCAATTTTCCTAATTAACAACATCATTTTGAAAGGTAAGATAAACACAAGAGTACGCACACACCCACACATTCAGACTCACACAAGAAATACAGTAAGTAAAAAGTATTTTCTATATGTGCAGCACTGCAAAAAGTATTCAAAGCATTTTAAAATTAAGGATGAGGCTGGATGCAGTGGCTTACGCCTATAACTAGCTCTCCAGGAGGGAGAGATCAAAAGGATCATGGTCTGAGGCCAGCCTTAGAAAAAGTTTGCAAGACCTCAACTAATAAAAAGCTGGGCATGGTGGCACTCATCTGTCATCTCAGCTACAAGGTTGGTGGTCTAGACCCAGTGCATAAATGTTGAAACGCTATTGAAGAAAACTAAAGCAAAAAGGACTGGGGGCACGACTCAAGTGGTAGAGAGCCCAAGACCATGAGTTCAAATCCCAGAACCTTTAAGAAAAAAAAAAATTAAAGATGAGAATTCACTTTTGTAGATACAGAAATGATTTGTTTTCTAGGAAATTGGTCAGGAAACACCCTAGGTTTCTAGTGTTCATATTTTATGTATTTATTAATTAATATTGTTATTTTTGTAGTAGTTATGAAGGCTAAGGGGAACATTGTGACCCTGAGTAAAATATACCTCTGTAGAACAGGAAGTCATCTTCCCTATGAATAGGGAAAAGCATTTATTTCAAAACTCACCAAATTCCACTGCAGCAGCTCCATGAACTCCTGTTAAGGCACTGTTTCCACCCAACAGTCCCTTGCTGGCCCACCCCTGCTAGAAGGATAGTCTTGTTAACCTCTAGCACGTGACCAGTCCCTGGTTTAAAACATAAGGTCCTTTTCCTCTGGAGGATGGCTTTCTGCCAAAGCTGTTTGTACTCCTGCCAAATAATTCTCTTCTGTTGGGAATTTTTTTCCTCAAAATATCATTTCTCATCTTCTTCTGGGCCAGAAAAGAAGTGAGAGGTCTTTGTCTCTACTGAAGATCATTGTCTTACAACAAATTCCTTTTCAAACCAAGTTATTTAAAATCATGCAAAGTTCTAGACAGTTTTGAAGCATCAGGCTCACAATACAATTTGAATGAAGTGTCTTTAAATTTTAAAGGCAAATATCCCTAGAGATACTATTTTCTCTTTGATGGTTATTAACAAACATCAAGACTGTCTCAAAATTCTCTTTCCTTTGGTAGTTTCATGTCCCAATTAAATATATATATATATTTAATTAAAAACCTATCCTCTGGATAGTATTGGAATGTAGGTCTAATTTCTGAAATTTCAGAATTTTTCTATAACTCATGTACAAAGTAAAAATATCTCAGTGTAAGATAGTTTACAGATGAAAAACTGAAGTAGTTCATAGTTTATATGAAAACAAAGCATTTTTTGAGGTGAACCCAAGAAATAATCCCTTATGACCACTGATTTCTCTATTGCAAACTCTTAAATTATGCTTCATTCATTTCTCACTTAACTGAAATGTAACTTTAATTGGTTTTACAAGGGTAGAGTGACGTTATCTTCAGAGACTCTTATTATTAAAAGATGCTTTTTGGACTTTAAACACAAAAATTTATCTGCATATTAGATTTCAGGGGGGAAATACTTACATTATATATAACAATAAGTTCATGTCCTTGATATATAGTAAGTGTATCCTTAATAAAAATGAATATACTTTCACAGATAAATAGGATTAGAGAACAAACAACAATGAAGAAATATGTCTAATAAATATATGGGGAAAAAAGAGTTTAACTTTATAAAACAATAAAATACAATTGTCCCCAAAATTAAGAGAAAAAGATTTAGGACAAATAATAATCATTATTGAGGGGGAGATTTACACTACTGGGAATTTTTCCTGAAGGACAATTTGAAAATTTGTATAAAAGTTTTGAAAGGCGACCCAAGAATTCTTATTTATTTATTTATTGGCGGTGGGCATCAAACTCAGGGCCGCTTACATGGTAGGTAAGTGCTCTACAACTAAGGCACATCTTCACCCTGACTCAAGAATTCCTATATGACTTCATTCTAAGAAAATAAAAAGACAAGCATGCAACAATCAATGTACATAGTGGATGTTTATCATAACAATATTCAGATCAGTGAAAAATTGTGAACAAGCTCAACAGTGGGAGATTGTTATATAAACTATAATACCCTTAAAATGGAATCCCATGTTGCCATTGAGAAATGCTCTTGATGTATGTTTATTCACATGGAAATTGACCATGACATACTATTGAGTGAATAATAACAAAAGCCTATAATCTGATTCAGGTTCTCTGGATTTCAATTGTGTATCCTAGCTTAGTTATGTGACTTTGGGCAAGTTTTTAATTTCCCATGTTCCTCAGTTTTCTCATTAATGAATCTAGAGAAATATTAAATCATACATGACAGGCAAATTAAAAAAATTCAGTGGATGTAGGCTGCTTTTACTGCTACATCTCAGTATACAAAATATATCTGTGCTAGAAAGTTTAGGAATAAAATGTTTCATGTTTTGTTATTGAAAATGAATGTCTCATGAAAAGTATGAGATACATTAAAAATTTTAAAATCTGTATCCTTTCCTTTAATGTTATATTGCTCACAAAATAAAGAAATAAAATTCAAAACATACCTTTATCACTACTACTATTACTACAACTACTAGTAAATTCTTATGTATGAAAGTTTCTTTAACTAACCTTAAAGAAAAGACACAAAAAGTGTAGCTGTAGTCCATGTTTGAATGCATCAGTTAGATCTTTCCTAAGACAGTTAAGGCTGGTTACAGACAGTCCTGGAAACAATGAGGGGGAACGCAAGACTGGCAAATTTTTCCAGTAAGAAATAAGCAAAAGAATTATTTTGAATGCAAAGTTAACTATTAACCACAATCCCATTTTGTTGACTTATTAAAATGAAACCTAAACCCAAAATCCAACATTAGTTTAATTACCTTCTCTTCTACTTGCTACCTCCAAACTGCTTTTATTATGAATTGGGTTGCTGCCAAACAAATGCTATATATAAAGATTAGGTTCTCTTTCTGTACCACAGGGAAAACTTCCAATACCCAAGAGGTTCCTAGTGCCTTCACTGATGCAAACTAAAGAGAATCAGAGGATTCTTTTGATGTTAGGACCAATCTATTTAAGTTCCTGAAAGATTATATTAAATGAAATCACCAAAACTGAAGGAAAAGTGAGATGATAACTGCCATCTTCTACCCCCATTTGTTAACCTAATTTGTTAATGCAATGACAAATGCAGAAAACTTATTGAGAGATGTGCCCTGGAATTTATTGGGAGTGGCAATAAATATTCCTAGATTGCTGATTTCTGAACATAAAAGGGTATTTAAAAGAATATACTCAAGAGAATATACTGAAATAGCCCCATATACACAACAAGCACTTAAATATCTATGGAGCCATCCGAAAAGTGAAAAAAAGGAATGCAGAATTTTAGGGCTTAAAAAGATTTTAGAAGAAAGTAAAATTCAATTCCTTCATTTTGCTAAGGAGACTGAGTTTCAGTGATTTTAAGAAAACTGCCCAGGGGGAGATTAGAAGACAAGTCCTGCTTTTATGAAATTTTCATTAACTCTGCTATTTCCTTAATGCTTGTTCATTAAGCTAAAATCTAGTTAATTTTTCCCATTACCTTGGAGATTGGCAAGAGTTATCCTGACATACAATTTCTTAGGAGCTTTGCTCAATGGGGAAAAGACATTAATTAAATAAGGATTAACATTTATACAGAGAAGTCTTTGGGCAAAAGATCAGGTGCTGTCACTCCCTAATATGTAAATATGTGTGGATGAGAGAAGGAAGCTTATAGCTTACGTAAAATATGCTGGGAACTACTTACGGCTAGGATAAAAAGCAGAGCCAGAGTCTATTCATCTATCCTTAGTATTGTCCAGTGCTGGTAAAGTTACCTGGTCAGAGATATCCCAAAGCAAAGAAGTGAATGTATCAAACAACCACTTAGCACTACTTATCAGAATCTCTGCCAAGACACATTCTGGTTTTTATTTACTAAAGGGACCTGTGGAACTGTACTGAGCACCCTGTTCCAATGACTGATCCAGCCTGCCTTGCACTTCCCTCCCTGCTTATCGAGACTGGCTGACCCAACACTCAGAAAAGTAGTATGAGACTTTAAGTTTGTTGAGTGGTCAGGAATAGTCCATTTCTTTTATAGGTTGCTGGTGTGTATCCTCACATGGCAACCAAGAATCAGTTTTTTCCCTCTGGTTTTAAATTTTTGCTTCTGCTTGACCATTATCCATTTCTTTAAGGCTTTTTCAACACTCAATTTTTGGATCCCTACTTTTGTCCTTTTCCTTTACCAAGTAAAGTTCACCTGAATTGA